AGACGAGCGTTGGTACGCCGACGCCTCCAGTGCAAATACCGGGAGCTTAGGTTCGCTCTACAAATAGTGAGGAATGGTCAGACTTTTGCTGAGCTTAGGCCAGAGGTATTGGCTGAGGATCCACGTCCAGTGATGCGTCACGTTGGACCTGAGAGCTGTGGCTCTCATCATCCTTAGTTAGAGGTTCCTTTTGTCTCAGTATTTCCCGGAGCTTCCCCTGCATTCCTTATAGAGGTGTCATCAGAATACTCCCCTACACCGGCTTAGCAGTTTCCAGCCTCCCCAACATATGCTCCTTTACCACTAGAGGATCCCGAGGAGGATCTCGAGGAAGATCCCGAAGAAGACCCAGAGGAATCGTTTAACTTAGGGTTGTAGTAGTCATGGGGCGAACCTTTTTGTGTACCTTTGTAAATAGTGTTTTGTGTGGTTGAAGCGTGTTTTGTTTTGGTGTATACACGCTACACGCTAACCTAGATAGTGTAACCTTTTGTAAGAAGAAGATATATATGTATATATAAAATATCTAGTTGGTTATTCTAGTGTTTTGTATGTTATTTTATTTTATTTTGCTTGGTTTAATTACATCATCCATTTAGAAAGAAAAAATTAATTACACCTCGGACCACATTAAATTAGCCTATTTATTGAGCACCTCTTCGCCTTCACAACAACCCTAAGCTTATATTACCTACAAACTTGGCAGATGGCGGACAATGTGGAAGCAAACGATCAAGTAAGACGCCAACGAGGACATCCAGCTCGCAATCAAGGTGTTAATCGTGGTAGACCTATACCTGCTGAGGAGTTGCCAAGACCAGTCGGAAACTAGATTCTTGAAGAGTTAGGAAGGCTTAGAAGAACGTAACCAAATGAGCGGATATATTTGTTATTTGAGTTCAGAAAGCAAAGACCGCCAGTGTTCACAGGTGAACCTGACCCGATAGTCGCTAAGAGCTGGATTCGTCAAATAGAAAAGGTGTTGGAAACCATGGGTATTACTGTGCATACAGACAAGATCGCCCTAGCAAGTTTTCAGCTATAAGGAGAAGCGGATCATTGGTGGTTTGTAGACGCGCCCGCGTGAGGGCCTCGGTGCTATAGTTCGGACTCGCGATTTTGTTGTCGCGGTTCTTAATCTAAACCAAAGAGTCCAAATCTGGCAAATCGTTTTGAGAAACAGATTTTTGAAAAAGTAGTGCCAAACATGGACTGCTTTGCCAGATACAGAGTCGCCACCTAAATATTTTAAAATGGGGAAATTTAGGAAACCCTAACTCGATGCCGAAGGCCACATGTCCGTCATCACCAGAGTTGTCTCGGCTCGGGAGCTTGGGTACGATCGGGGAAGGTCAGCTATGAGCACCCCCTTTCGCCCGGTTCGAATATCGGCCTCTACTAACCGTGATATCTAATTTTGAAAACTTTATGTGTTCTTATACCAAATATTAGCCTAGCATTACTATGTTATGCGTGCGACAAACAAGTATAGACTAGATTGCTTAATTTGGAAATAAGCATTGCATATCCGTTTGTTTCGAAAAGTGCTTTAGAATTTGCTACTCGCAAGTAGGCTAAAACACGGATTTCAACGAGTTTTCCCAACTCAAACAATCCAACCTTCACCCACAGGCATTAAAACAGTTTATCACATAAGCATCTAGCCACATGGTAAACATGCTGTCATGATAGCATTCACACGTATGCGAGATGCTAAAGCAGGAAAATACTTACATCGTACTCCGTGCCAAAACAATAAACTAGTTAGCAAACATGCATGTCCGAGTTCATGTCAATTTGACTAATGCAACACATACAAGATGCAACTAGATAGGCTCGGCTAATCCTAAACATGGCATGTGAAATGCGATCAATTGATGCATGTATTCAATTTGGAATTGAAGTACAAATGCAGTTGGCGTGATGTACCGAGCCTAGTGCATGCAATATAAATGCATGAATGCACGCATGCATAACATAAGGTATGCTAAATTAAATGTGCCCTAATACTAACCATCAAAGCAGGTAAGTAAAAGGGAAGAAAGAAGTGGGGATTGGAAGACATACACACCACCCACACACACTTATTACAGATTTGCCCTCGCCCGGAGGGACCAAATAAATATTACATATTAATTAACTACACAAGCTAATTAAATATTACAAATTAATTAACTAAATAACAAATTAACTAATCTAGGAAAAGCAGTAAACCGCCTCGGGAGGAGAGCCAGATGCAATGCGCGCTCGGTCCTGCTCGGAAATGCACCGCCATGCATAGGCTGCCTCTGTTTTCCTTTCTCGGCTCCTCAGGAGGCTACCAAAACCTCAGGACTACTTCCTTGGACAATGGGGATCACCACTAGCTGAATGGAATTGCCACCGGCAGTGTGGTGTTGTCACCAGCACAAAACAAAGCTATCGGCCGGTGATTTACTGCCGGTCGGCAATATATATTGCCGGTCGGCAAAGAAAGTCTGCAGAACCTGCAACTCACAGCAACAGAGGGCAAGACAAAGCATGGCAGCACAATTCAAGGCATATATGCACCAACCACGTCCCTTATCATGGTAATGACTCAAAGGGGCATGTGCCTCGATTCTCGGACCACCAATCACGCATTTCCATGCATGATGGCCCAAAGAACCAAGTATGCAACTTTAATTTCAAATGCATGCAAACCAATCAAACAAACTTAAGGCCCAATTCCTATCATCAAGTCAAGGAACAAGGCATGCATGCAAGATGCAATGCAAACTAGCATGCAAGCTAAGGATGCACATGGCATGGCAACAAACTTATGCAAGCATACAAGCAAACATGGGGCCATGCAAATGGATGCAAAGATGGACTTATACATGATTTAAGCAACTCTAAATAGGCCTAAAACAGTAGCCAAAGTGCTATAAATGAGGGCTAAAATGGCATGCAAAACACACATGCACACAAGGACCAACACTTAGGCACAAATTGGACAACTCTCAAGCACACTTGAAAGAGGCATATCATGGACAATTAGCATGCAAAGTAAGCGTTATAAAATCATGTTAGGATGATGTCATACCAAGCAACAAGATAAGCTAAACATTAGCATGCAAATAGCCCAAATGCTCAAAGCAAACAATGAGTATTGAATTACACTTAGCAAGACCAAACATGGCATGAACTTATTGAACCAAAAACAGAGTTTTAGCACATAAATGAAGCCTAAAAGACCACTTAGATGGCATCTAAATGGCTCAAATTCAAAGGCATGCACAAGTGCCAAAACATGGGAGCATACTACACAAGCTTCCAAAGCATTAAAGATGCATCCAAGGTAAACATATAGGCGTGCAAAATGGGACTGAAATGACATGGTGGATGGTTGCCAATCACCAAATCATGCAAAAATGTCATGCTACACACTCATACACTTAAGGCCAACAAGCCGGAATACAAAGGGGCTATATGATGCATGCCAAATCTGACCCAAACAACCTAGGACAGACCTAGAACATGGAAAATATGCACAAAATCTTCACAAGACTAAGCCTAAAACATGCTCTAACAAGGGCTAACAACCTAAGGCACATTGAGGCAATAACAAGGCATCACATGGTAGGTATGCTAAAGCATGCATGGTGTACCAAAACCACAAAAAACAGAGGCATAATATGACATATTAAGCACAAAAAACAACTAAGGCATGGTCAACATGAAGCCTAGCTAGGTGCTCCCTCAAGAGGCCAAAAATGGTCCATTTTAAGGACAACAAGGAGAGGGGGTGGCCCTCTCCTTTTAGAGACTTCAAGGCACCTATCTTTTCACCACTGAAATCCCTCAAGATTTCAGTGGTGAAGAGGCCCAAACACCAAAGTCCCGAAACTAGCACAAAATAGCACAAAATGAGGCCTTTCAAGGCCTAAGAGGGGTCAAACACCCTCAAATCACAAAACACCCTTAATAAACAATCAAGAGGGTCTAAAAACAGAACTTTTTTTTGTATTATACACCAAGCTCAAAAACGAATTTAAGACAGGTAAAAATACAATGCAAGATTGGGGTAAAAAGGGGTAAGATTCTCACCCTTGAAGACCTCTTCAACAATGGTACTCCAATGGCCCTCTTTGGCTTGAATCCAGTACCAAAACACTAAAACCAGTCCTTTAGAACCTCAGTAGCTATAAGAAGGTGAAACACTATGTGTTTGTGTGCAATAGTAAGACACAAACACACTTTAACACACACAAGAGGGAAAAAGAGAGAAATAATGTGTATCAAACCCTAACCCTAGAACTCAAACCATGAAAATGGCTGTCTAAGCTCTCTAAAATATCTCAAGTGTCTAACCTCTTGCAACAAGAGAGAGCCCCTCCCTTTATGGAACTTCTTGTCTTGTAAAGCTTACAAAACAAGCTTCATAAGAGGAGATCCCTCCATACACGTGTATGGAGGGGAGCAAAAAGCAAGACAGCTGTCTTAAAATATCTGCAAAAGCAGATGCACAGTAGTCGGCCGGCCAAAACTGCCATCTTGGCAAAAAATAGTGCCGACCGGCACTAAATAGTGCTGACCAGCAACAAATAGTGCCGACCGGCAATAATATACATTGCCGGTGGCAGCAAAAACTAGCCGGTGGCCTCTAGCCACTGCCGGTGGTGTATGGGGATGCCTCACAAGGCATTCCCTGCCCCTCCAAGGCAAAACACAAGTGTTTGGTGCAAAACCAGACACTAAACAGTCGAGTTCGGAGATCTTGAGGCAAGGTGCGCGAGCCGAGACCTTCAGGAACTCCAAACGAACACAAACATGGATGATCACCGAGTGTTCAAGCGGTGACGTCCAAGTCTTGAGGACGGTAAAAAATGGGGTGTCTACAGTGGTCCTTGATGAAAAACTCTCGAGACACGACAAGCATGACTTGGGCTTAGTTCAAAGAATTGTTTCTAAGAAAATATTTCACAAACACAGTTAGACAAGAGCGAATTTGGCAATTTCAAACTTTGAAACAGGGTGAGATGTTAGTGACTCAGTATGTAGCCAAGTTTGAAGAGCTGGCTCGATACGCAGCCCGATACGTCGCAGATGAGGGAGAGAAAACACGAAAATTCGAGTGGGGTTTAGACCCTATTATCAGAGGTAAAGTGTTACCCTTGCGCCTCCCTATATTTGCTGATGTGGTGGATACGGCATTGGATGCAGAAAGAGAGTGGGCAGACTCAAAAAGGATTTGGATGATGAAAACGAAGAAAGGGGGTCAGTCCTTTGTAGGGCCAAGAAGAAATGACCGAAGGAATGTGGTACGGACACCATACACTAGACCGTCGCAACAACCGTAACAGCAAAGCCAGAAAGGAAGTTTACAAACCAAGCATATTACACAAATCCAATGCTTTCACTGTCATCAGATAGGGCACAAAAAGTCGGAATGTCCCCAACTTTCTGGGATGGGAAATCAAGCAGGGGGTTCAAGGGCAAATGCTCAAGATATTGGCGAGCAGAGGCCATGGACGAACAAGTCAGGAGGAAACCGAAAGGTTGGACCAACCGGTAATTAAAAAGCCACAGGAAGAGTTTTTGCTCTCCAAGAGGAAGATAATGAAGATCCATTAGTAATTAAAGGTAACATTGTACTCTATAATTCTTGGGTTCACGTTCTATTCGATTCTGGCGCATCACATTCTTTTATATCAATATCATGTGTTAAATCATTAGGTCTTAAATGTGAACCTTTAGAAACTACTTTATGTGTTGCATCACCATTAGGAAGAAGTATTAGGGTAGGATTAATCTGTCGAGGGTGTGAATTAGAAGTGTTAGGGTTACACTTGAGTTATGACCTTCGGGTCATGAACATGTCCGATTTTGACATAATCTTGGGTATGGATTGGTTATCCACCCACCGAACAGTAATTGATTGCTACCACAAGAGGGTGATGGTTTGCACACCTAGTGGAACGTGTTTCCAATTTAAGGGGGAAAAAGAGGATTCCCTGAGCACCACAAATCGTAAAATGCAGTGGCGTTGACAATTTACTGGATGGTTAGCAAGTTTGATCATTAATGAAGAAGCCCAATCGGAATCAAATCTTCCGTGTGTAGTTTGTGAATATGCTGACGTTTTTCCTGAGGAATTGTCAAGATTACCGCCACATCGTGAAGTAGATTTTAATATCGAGTTACAAGCGGGTACTGCACCGATATCCCTGACGCCCCACCGTATGGCTCCTGCTGAACTTCGAGAATTGAAAACGCAACTACAAGACTTACTGGAAAAGGGATTTATCCGACCAAGTACCTCACCGTGGGGCGCACCAGTTCTATTTGCAAAGAAAAATGACAGAACACTAAGATTGTGCATAGATTATCGGCAACTCAATCGGGTGACGGTCAAGAACCAATATCCACTTCCACAGCCCAAGGAGAGGGTGAGAGAGGGAGAGTTGGCTCAAGGGAAGTAGAGAAGTAAGAAAAAAAAAAAGAAGAAAAAAAAATAAGGAATTCTTGAAGGTAAGAACATACCTCTCCCTATTTTTTCCAATCCTTTCATCATCTCATTCTATTGTCTAGTATGCCTCTTGTGTTACAAATTAATGGTACATAGGGTTTTTGGTGTGTGTGAAGGTATGGGTATGATATAGTGTCATTGTCTTGCAAATTTATGAAATTAGGCACTGCTGCAACTTCTCTAATTTAAAAGAAATATCAAATCTATCTAATTCCCAAATCTGAATTTATTGTAGGATATTTTATGTGTTTAGAGCTTGTGACAATTTTATTAGCTCCTAATTGTGTGTTTTTAGGGCTTGGATAATTTGTTAAAAAATCTGGTCCTGAATCTCTGAAAAACAGTCCACTTTTAGCAATTTTATAAAACTCTAGAAAAATCATCTCATGTTGGTTCTTCTGTCAAAATTTAGAACTCTGAGTCCTCTTTCCAACAGATTTTATTTCAGTGAAAACTATCAAGTAGATTGAGAGAACAGCTAGTTTTCCCAAAGGGTGACAAATCTGGACAGGTTTTCGAATATAGTTTGTAGATGAATTTTTGGAGGGGCTGTGCAACTTCTGAAAATTGGAACTGAAACTAGACAGATTGAATACTGTTTCTGTGCAATTTCAGCCCCTAATTTGGCCTAGAAGTACTTTTATCAAAGCGTTCTTGTTAGCCCTGCAGAACCGAACAGTGCTGGAAATTGTGTTCTATTATGTTATTTGTCTCTAAGTGTTTCAAAGCATTTCTAATGTTGTTTTCTTGCCTTACTAGACTTATGTATGATGATCATGGACTATATTTCCTCTCGTGTGTTTTTCTCATACTCTTTTATATGACCGAATTACCGAATGTGACTAACTTACCTAGCAAAAGATCTAATAAACGGGAAATGATAAGGGGTTGGTAATGGGTGATGTTCATCTTAGTGTTTTAGAACAATTTTATACATATGCATGACATGAATTATAATGGGATTAATACCAAATGAGTTAAGTCTTGCGTAAGCAGTTTAAGCGAGCCCCTAGGTTGACCCGGGTGTATTCAGACTATGCGGTGGTTTCAGGGTGTAAGCGAGCCTTTTGGTTGCAGGGTATAAGCGAGCCCGAGGCATGATTTGGGTGTAAGCGAGCCCACTTGTTGGCTGTCCCTTTTGAGGTCCATCAATGCCACTGACAGGTAAATAATCGGAAGGTGGGCATAGGTGGTAAGGTCTGCAAAGTAGCAAAAGGGGGAGTTCTGAATAGTCCAGTGTTCAATCCTTGTGGTTGGGTAGAAGGATCTCTTTGGGGGGTTCTAGATGCCTAATCTAACTACTAATTCATAAAACCTTATTGTAAGTATGTTATGTTACCTGAATGTTTTGTGTATGGTTGATTGATTGATAGAAGATATGGGGGTGTGTGTGTTTTTATTAGGCATTCCAAGCTCATGGCGTGTCATGCCAGGTGAAGAAGCAGCTTACGACGAGGAAGGTTATCTCGAAGACAATCAAGATGAAGTTTTAGAGCCGTGGTTCACTTGAAAATTTGGACTAGTAATTTTTTTTTGTGTTCTCTCTTCTTTTACCTTTTGGTTTGACAATGTTTGTAAACCTCTAGTGGAACTCCAATCAGTTATCTATGTTATAACTCTACTTGTATATGTATATTAAAATATTGTGGTTATCTCTCTTGTTTGAGTTGTACTATATATATATATATATATATATTTTGTCTCAAATTTTGGGGCGTGACAGGTTACGATGCTAAACTTACAGGGGCGAGTTTGGGTCGTGACAGAGTGGTTTCAGAGCACGTGTTCTACCGCATACACAAGTCCATATGAGCTTAGGAAGTCCTAGTAAGAGTTAGGGGCATTCTATCTGCATGTGTGAGTGTGTGGTAATCTAAATGAATGTGAAGACTGAATGTAAATTTGAGCAAATAAATTTAAAGAAACGAATAAGATTATGCCTATGTTTATTATCGTTTGATGTCTCTATAGTAACATGGAGAATGCAACGGGAAGTGATGTAAATGAATCTTCAGAGGCTCGCATGGGCCGAATGGAACAAATGCTTGCAGTATTGACTGAAACTTTATCACAACAGCAAAGACAACAACCTTTTACCCCCTCTACCTCCGCCGGCATAGGCTGAAGCAAATAATGATGACATCATCAACTTGACACAGAAATTCATGAAAATAAAACCGCCGACATTCTATGGTGGAATTGAACCGTTAAAAGCAGAGACGTGGTTACTTGAAATGGAGAAGCTATATGAAGTGTTTCCTTGTTCTGAAGTCCAGAAAGTCCTCCCAGCTCCTTATACTCTGAAGGATGAAGCCCGAAAGTGGTGGTTACTGATTCGAAGTGGCAATGGGAATATGACGTGGGCACAGTTTAATACCATCTTCTATGATAAATATTTTCCCCAATGTTTCAGGGATCAGAAAGTGTCTGAGTTTCAAGAACTTAAACAGGGAAGAATGTCTGTGGCAGAGTATGAAGCCAAATTCACCGAACTGGCACGGTTTGCTCCACATATGGTGGATACTGATTACAAGAAAGCACGAAAATTTGAAGGTGGACTGGATTTAGAGGTGTTTGATCGAGTAGGCGTACTGAAATTGCCTACTTATGTGGAAGTTTTAGACAGGTCCCTAATGGCAGAAGCCACCCTAGCTGCTATGAAACAAAGTAAAGCCCCAACAGCTACAACAACTGATTGGAGAGGAAAAAGATTTGGGTTTAGTTTTAGAAGAGGCCAGTCTTATGTCAATAAGAAACAGAACACGGGGTCTACAAGCAGCTCGAGCCAGAGTAGTGGGTCTATCCCAGTCTGTTCTGATTGTGGTAGAAGGCATAGGGGTGTGTGCTACCGAGTGTCCGGTGCTTGTTTCCGATGTGGCCAGGTAGGTCACGTAGTGAAAGATTACCCACTCAGGTCTGAGAATACTAGACGTTCTGCGGCAAGTTCAGTTGGATCCGCCTCTACGGCCAAAGTAAATGCAAAAGCCAATACTGGGAAAGAACCTCTGAGACAAGGTCGAGTGTTCGCCTTAGTGCCTGGTGACGTAAAAAACACCTATACTGTGGTGCCAGGTACACTCTCTGTATGTTCTCAAAATGCATGTGTACTAATAGATTCTGGTTCTACACATTCCTTTGTATCGCGTGCTTTCTCTCGAAAATTGACTAGACCATTAGAACTTATGACATATGAGTTATCTGTGTCTACACCATCTGGGGATTCTATGATGTGTGCTCATGTTTATCCAGCATGTGATATTATGATTGGCGATATAATGCTATATGTTGACTTATTGCCCTTAGACATTGATCATTTTGATTGCATTTTGGGAATGGACTGGTTGACTAAATATTGTGCTACCATTGATTGTGCAAGTAAATCCGTTGTGTTTAGACCACCGGGTATGCCTGAATTTATTTTTACTGGGAATGGGGTAGTTCCTCTCCCATATCTGATTTCGGCTATGAAAGCTGTAAAACTACTTGGGAAGGGATGTCGGGGTTACTTGTGTTGTATACTGACGGCACCATCTGACGGTACTAATGTAGAAACTATTCCTGTTGCTTATGAATTTCCCGATGTGTTTCCGAATGACTTACTTGGGGACTTAGTTGATAGAGAAATTAAATTCACTATTGAACCTATTTCCAAGACTCTCTATAGAATGTCTACCTCGGAACTGAAAGAGTTAAAAACTCAACTCCAGGAACTGCTGAACAAGAAATTTATCCGTCCGAGCACTTCGCCTTGGGGTGTTCCAGTCCTGTTTGTCAAAAAGAATGATGGATCTTTGAGATTGTGTATAGACTATCGAGAACTGAACAAAGTAACTATCAAGAACAAATACCCTCTGCCCCGAATAGATGACTCGTTTGACCAACTTCAGGAAGCCCGAGTATTTTCCAAAATTGACCTCAGATCTGGGTATCACCAATTAAAAGGTAAGGCTGAAGACATAGAGAAAACTACATTCAGAACTAGATATAGACATTATGAATTCTTAGTAATGCCGTTTGGGGTGACCAGTGCACCTGCTGCCTTTTATGGACCTTATGAACAAAGTGTTTAAATCATTTCTGGATGAGTTTATTGTTGTGTTTATTGATGATATCCTGATTTACTCCAAAAGCAGGGAAGAACATGAGAATCACTTGAGAATTGCTCTACAGACCTTGAGAGAAAAGAAATTATACGATAAATTGTCTAAATGTGAATTCTGGCTTGACAGTGTAGCATTTTTGGGCCATGTAATCAACAAGGATGGTGTTTCTGTTGACCCTCAGAAAATTGAAACTATTGTGGACTGGCCTAAGCCGACAAATGTGACAGAAGTTAGAAGTTTTCTAGGACTTGCAGGTTATTACCGAAGATTTGTGAAAGACTTTTCCAAGCTTGCCATGCCATTAACCCAGTTAACTCAGAAAAATGTGTCATTTGATTGGAATGAACAAAGAGAGGCAGCCTTTCAAGAGTTAAAAACCAGGTTAATGACTGCACCAATTTTAACTTTGCCCAATGGTACTGACGGGTTTCAAGTTTACAGTGATGCTTCCTACAAAAGTTTGGGGTGTGTATTAATGCAAAACGGAAAAGTGATTGCCTATGCTTCTCGACAACTCCGACTTCATGAAAAGAATTACTCGACGCACGATCTTGAATTAGCAATTGTGGTGTTTGTTTTGAAAATCTGGCGTCACTACTTGTATAAGGTAACTTGTGAGGTGTATACCGATCATAAAAGCTTGAAATATTTCTTCACCCAAAAGGAGTTGAACATGAGACAGAGGCATTGGTTAGAGTTAATCAAAGATTATGATTTGCAGATTTTATATCACCCAGGGAAAGCTAATACCGTAGCGGATGCCTTGAGCCAAAAGTCCAGTACAAATTTGTCATGTTTACTGTCCAATCGAAAAGAACTGCTACATGACCTGGAACAAGAGGAGATTGAG